TGACCTCTCCATAAACACCCTCTGCGGGCCCCATACAGGCGGCTTGGCCTCTTCATGTTAAAGGTTACCCAGAAATCTCTGCAACCAGGGACACCACATCTCAGCTTCCTGAGCCCCAGGCCGTCCTGCCAGGAACCACCATTTATTTCATGTCCTTGTGACTCGAGAGTTCACCATAGCAGTGCCCTCCACCTCCCAGTGCCCCGCCTGCACCCCCTCCAATGGCACAGCTTCCTCACCTGGGCCCCAGGCCACGGTGTCACTGGGCAGGTCTTCAGGGAGCTGTCAGCAAGGTGCCCCTGAGCTCTCCCAGAGACCCAGCCTGCCCCGAAGATGGTCCTGGTGGAGGGAACAGGAGGTTGGTGACAGGACAGGGGGGCACTGACCCCAGGAAGCAGAGTGCTGCCCGTGGGGACTCTGTCCCCAGGCTGAGACTCCTCACATCCGTCTCCAGTGCAGGGTCCTGCACATGGGCAGCAGGTGATACTTTCTGAGTACCTGCCATCTTCCCCATCTTTAAGTGAGGAAACCGAGGCCCAGCGGGAAGTGTCCAGGTCACAGCATGTCAGTGACAGGTTTAGGTGAGGCCTTCTAAGGCCAAATCCAATGCTCTTGGCATCCAGGCTCCCTAGACTCTGCCCACTGGGCCATGGGGGCACCAGCCCCTCCTGATGGTGCCTCAGTCTGGGTAGAGGTGGGAGCTCACCAGTCAGTAAGACCAGTGTGCCCAGCTTCTAGTCGGGGCGGCCACAGGGGGCAGGGACAGGGAGGAGTAGGAGCGGCAGGGTCTGGGAGGCCCAGAGGAGGCCTTACTGGGCACTCAGGCCACTGAGGCAGCAGCTCAGTCACCAGCAGCCGGGCCACAGCGGGAGGGAAACCACAATACTGACATGGCCGAGTGGGCCCTTCCAAGGTGCCTTCCTCCATGGCCCCGCTGGCCAGCATGACTGTTGGGGTGGTCCAACCGGGAGACCCAGGACCCTGGGCCGGACAGCAGGCTCCAGGATCAGGCCCCAGCCCCTCCCAGTCTCCTAGAGTCCGGTTCTGCCTCCAGAGACCCAGGGAGAAGGACCCAGGCCTGTCCTGTCCCTCTGCTCCCCCTCTGGTGAGGGGCGGGGCTAGGAGCAACCTCTTGTCTACACTTTAGCTGTTCCGGCCCATGAGGAGGGGGTTCCAGCGCCACGGGACCCGGGGTCTCCCAGATGGTGTCATGCCATGTGCCCAACTAGCAGAACAATGTCCTTGGTTTCCGACAACTTGAAAACCACATGCGACTTTCCACCGTCTGGTGCCCCCACGCAGCTCACCAGGCCCAGACTGCTGAGCGAGCAGAGTTCGCCCAAATTCCTTCCACTCACCACAGGACCCGGCCCCTGGGGAGCCCGGGGTCACCGCAGCCATGGGGAGAGTGGCCGCCTGGCCGAGGCAGTGGGAGGCTGGCTTCCAGGACCATGAGTAATTCAGCAGCCTGCAGACGGGGGTGGAAGGAAGCCACGCACCGTGTGATAGTGCAGGAGGAGAGGAGGGTGTCAGGTCCAGACTGGGGTCTCCCAGATGAAAGAGCACACCATCCTCCCAAGGCACCGCCGAGGGTTGGGTGTAGGCACCAAAACAGAACATCAACCTATTAAAAGAAAACAAGAAGCTGTGTTTATATTCTCAGCAGAGGATCTGGAACTTTGGTTGCATAAAAGTTTTAGCTTTCTGTTCCAAATATACTGAAAATGAAATTAAAAGGTAAAGAAAACCAGGAAAGCAATTGCAACCCCTAGGTTAGAAGTGAACATTTTAGGAGCAGGCTGTGGCCTGAGCCTCAGTTTCTGTCCTCTGGGCAGTGGGTAATAACACTAGCTCTGCCTTGGGAACCGGCACAAGGACTCACTGAGCTAAATCGGGAAAGTCGTGCTTGAAAAATAGTGAGTCTTCCCTGGCCGGTTTAGCTCAGCGATTAGGGCGTCGGCCCCCATACCAATGAGTCTCGGGTTCGATTCTGGTCAAGGGCGTATACCTCAGTTGCAGTTCACCCCGGCCCTGATCCTGGACTTGTGGTCTCCTACACTGTGAGAAAAACATTTCCGTTATTGGCCTGACTGGTGTCGCTCAATGGTTAGTGTTGGCGCCAGTCAGGGTTGTGGGGGAGGCAACCAATTGATGTGCCTCTCTCGCATCCATGTTTCTCTCCCTCTCCCCCTCCCTTCCACTCTCTCTAAAACTAAGTGGGGGAAAAATATCCGCGGGTGAGGATTAACAACAACAAAAAAACAGGTTTCTGCTGTTTAAGCCACCACCAGTCTGTGGTGTTTTGTTGTGTCAGCCTAGCTGATTGATATACCAGGCAACTCCAAGCCAGTGATGTCAGGGTAGCTCAAGAGGGCCCGGGGCCAGCAGCCCTCGGGAGCTCAGGCCAGCAGCATCAGCAGTCTGAGCACATGCTCACTGGAGTGCTGCTGGCAAGCAGCCCACAGAAGACGGGAACCTGAGGGTGGCCTGAGATCCAGGGCAGTGTCCAGGCCCCACAGACCAAGCACAGGTGCAAACAGCTCTGAAGTGAACTCCAAAGAAGGTACTCCACGAAGTTCATGAGGACTGGAAAGTGACCCCCAGGGACTTCAAGGAGCTGGAAATGGGAACAGGAACTAGCTAGATGAGATTCATCTTGGAAAAATACAAGCTCACACATCTGGGTAAAAGTAATCCGAAACCCAGATGAGACAGCCACAGCCTGGGGCAGGGAGGCAGACTGCAACCTCAGGCAGCTGGAAGCTCACCTTTGCAACCTCTCTTACTTTAGGGGTGGTCCTGCTGTGGGGAGCAGGAGGCTGAGGACTTAGGCATCTGGGAACCCCAAGCCAGAACTTTTGAAATAGAGGGTGAGGTCTTGACTCCCCAGCTGGCTGGACAGTGACCTGGTGGTGCAGGGAGGAGAAGAGCATGGCACCCATGGCCACGAGGGTCACCCTCCCCCTCACGAAACCTCCCTGCATCTGTGGAAGTCTCATTTTTGCAAGTTGCCCAGTGTTTTAAGTACTCAGGTGTGATGGGTCATTTAAAGCTGCCTCAAGCCCTGGCCAGCTTTGCTCAGTGGTTAGAGACCAGTGAGTCCCGGGTTTGATTCCGGTCAAGGTCATGTACCTCAGTTGTGGTTCGTCCCAGGCCCTGGCCAAGGTCATGCGGGAGGCAACCAGTTGATGTGTCTCTCTCACATCAATGTTTCTCTCTCTCTCCCACTCTATCTGAAGATAAATAGAAAAATATCCTTGGGTGAGGATTAAAGAAAAAAGCTGCCACAGGAGAAAACCTAGGTGTCCTGGCCAGAGACAGAGGCATTAGCAGGAAAGGAAATGGTCTCAGGGGGTAGAGGGCTGCTCCCTGAGGAGATGGGGGCCCGCTGACGGGGAACAAGGCTCCCACCTCTTACAGAGGCCCTGGGAGCTCCCCCTTCCTTGCTGGCCGGAGGAGACAGGGTGAGGGAGAGGGTACGGGAGTAGTCACCAGCCTCCTGCGTGTGTGTTCTGGGGCTCAGGACAGTAGGCTGGGAGCTGGTATGGGAGGTTGAGTCCTTGGCTGAGGCACCTGCCTCTCTCAGCCCCATGCCCACTACAGGTGGGGTGAGGGAGGAGAGGGTTGAGACAGGGCTCACGCTGGGTCTGCTCATCTAGTCTGAGCATGGACACTCTGCTGGAACAGAGAGATTCCAAAATGAGGCCGACACACAGGAACATTCAATAGTTTCAAGATGTCAACTTTCCCAACTCGATCTGTAGAGTCAGTGTAATCCCAATCTTGGAAAATGAATTGCTGGGTATGATTTAAAAAAAAAATCTCCAACTGAGGATATTTTTCCATCTATCTTCAGATAGAATGGGAGGGAGAGCGAGAAAGAGAGACACATCCTTTGGTTGCCTCTCCTACCAGGGCTGAACCAACCGAGGTACGTGCCCTTGACTGTAATCGAACCCTCCACTCCTTGGTCCACTGGCCAGTGCTCCAACAGTGGAGCCAAACCGGCCAGGGCTGGTTTTTATTCTTGTTGGATATGGTTGCCAAACTTGTTCTCAAAAAGTCCTTCCTACAAGTTGCCAGTTCTCTCACACCTTCAACATGTGCGCTCATTTTAAAAGTTTGACAGTGCACAGGTGGGGTCTCAGTGGGATCTGCGGCTGCAGAGGTCGGACAGGTCGCACAGGGCTCTGGTCCAGGGCAGCTCTCCTCCGTGAATTGCCTACTGGGCCTCTTGCCAACTTCTTTATTAGATCATTGCCTTTTCCTTATTTATCTGAGGACAATTTCACAATGACATGAATCAGACTTAACTTCAAAATGTGTCACAGACACATTTTCCTCAGTTTGCTTTTCATTTTAATTTTTGAACAAATTTTTCAATTTGTATGTAGTCAAGTTTATTATTCTTTTATTTCAGTGTTTCAGGTTTATTGTGATACTGAGACCATAAAAACATTCATCGCCTTTCCAGTACGTTGTTGATCCATCTGGATTTTATTTCGGGGTGAAGGAGGGAGGGAGGGAGCCGGCCTCAGTTTTTCCAGATGGCTGGCCAGCTGTCGCCCCGCCACCGGCTGAGAACCTTCCCGGGCTGGCAGCGGCCGCTGGAGGCACGTCCAGGCTCCGTCCAGGCTCCGGCCAGGCTCCGGCCAGGCTCCGGCCAGGCTCCAGCCAGGCTCCGGCCAGGTCCGGGGCCGGCGTCCGCCGCCCGGTCTCCGCCGGCCCTTTAATAGAGGTCGTGGCCCCGGTGCAATTTGCATAGAGGCGGGGCCCCAGGCGCCCACGGCCGGACAGCCAACCCGCGGGGCCGCCGCGGGGCCCTCACTTGCGAGGGACGGCGGCTGCCTCCGGGGAGCTCGGGCTGCTTCCCCTCCTGCCGCCTCCTTTCCGCCTCCCTTCCGCCTCCCTTCCGCCTCCCTTCCGCCTCCCTTCCGCCTCCCTTCCGCCCCCACCGCCTTCCCACCGGCCCCACCGGCGCCGCCCGAGGCCCAGGCGCGATGCTCCAGAGACGGCGGCGGGCGCGGGCGGGGAACCCGGGCGCCAGTCCCTCCGCCGTGCGCTTCCCCGGAGTCGCCATCCACCTGGCGGAGCCGCGCATGGGCCGCAGCCGCCGGGCCTTCCTCACCCGCCTGGCGCGGTCCAAAGGCTTCCGCGTGCTGGACGCCTACAGGTGCGTGGTGGGGCCGTGCTCGCGCGGGGCGGGGCCGCCCCCTGGGCCTGGGCCGCCCACCTGGGCCTGGGCCCGCCCCCTGGGCCTGGGGCCGCCCCCCTGGGCCTGGGCCCGCCCCCCTGGGCCTGGGGCCGCCCACCTGGGCCTGGGGCCGCCCACCTGGGCCTGGGCCCGCCCACCTGAGCCTGGGGCCGCCCACCTGGGTCTGGGCCCGCCCCCCTGGGCCTGGGGCCGCCCCCCTGGGCCTGGGGCCGCCCCCCTGGGTCTGGGCCCGCCCCCCTGGGCCTGGGGCCGCCCACCTGGGCCTGGGGCCGCCCCCCTGGGTCTGGGCCCGCCCCCCTGGGCCTGGGGCCGCCCCCCTGGGTCTGGGCCCGCCCCCCTGGGCCTGGGGCCGCCCACCTGGGTCTGGGCCCGCCCCCCTGGGCCTGGGGCCGCCCACCTGGGCCTGGGGCCGCCCACCTGGGCCTGGGCCCGCCCCCCTGGGTCTGGGCCCGCCCCCCTGGGCCTGGCACCGCCCACCTGGGCCTGGGCCCGCCCCCTGGGCCTGGGCCCGCCCACCTGGGCCTGGGCCCGCCCACCTGAGCCTGGGGCCGCCCACCTGAGCCTGGGGCCGCCCACCTGGGTCTGGGCCCAACCACCTGGGTCTGGGGCCGCCCACCTGGGCCTGGGGCCGCCCACCTGGGTCTGGGCCCAACCACCTGGGCCTGGGCCCGCCCACCTGGGCCTGGGCCCGCCCACCTGAGCCTGGGGCCGCCCACCTGGGTCTGGGCCCAACCACCTGGGTCTGGGGCCGCCCACCTGGGTCTGGGCCCAACCACCTGGGCCTGGGGCCGCCCACCTGGGCCTGGGCCCGCCCACCTGGGCCTGGGGCCGCCCACTTGGGTCTGGGCCCAACCACCTGGGTCTGGGGCCGCCCACCTGGGGACACCTGGCGGGTGAGGTGCCCAAGGGCCCGCCTGACCGGCAGTGAGGGCCGCGGGTTTCAGCGTGACCGCGCCGTCGCGCCCGGCGGACCCCGCTGCGGGCTGTGTGGCCCGAGCACAGTGCAGCCGGCGGCCACCTCTGCGCCCCGTGTTTCTCCACGACGGGGGTACTGAGATCTGAACGAACTCGCAGGCGGCTGACCCTGGTGCAGGCCCGGAGCTCCCTGGGTTCCACGTTAGCCCGAGGGTGTCAGGCCCCTTCCCCCCATTTCCTCTCCTGGGAAGAGCGGTAGCATCAGGGCCAGGAGGTCTGCGGCCAGGGACAGTGCGTGCGGTGCGCTGGGTGTGTAAGCAGCTCAGCCCTCTGCCTTGGTCAGCTCATCTTGCCATCGCTCTCCTTGGGGCTGAGAAAGAGACGTGAGCGAGGCTCCAGGACCAAAATTTAGCGGCTACCGAGGTGGGCTGAGGGTTAAGGTAGCCATAGGTTTGAAACTGAAGAGCAAACAAACCAGGGGCCAGCCCCCCCGCAGCTTTTTTGTTTTTTATCCTCACCCGAGGACATGTTTCCATTTTTTGTTCAGATAGAGTGAGAGGAAGAGAGAGAGAGAGAAACATCGATGTGAAAGGGACACATTGAGTGGTTGCCACCTGCACGACCCAACCAGGGCCGGGGACAAACTGCAACCGAGGTACATGCCCTTAGCAGGAACCGAACCTGGGTCTCTCTGGACCACAGCCCGATGCTCTAACTGCTGAGCCAAACTGGCCAGCCTCCCCCCCCCCCCCCACTGCAGCTTTTTAAAAACCATTCCCAGGGGTGTGGAGGACCCACTCAGGACAGGACGGTGAGAGCAGCTTAGTACATTGGCCAACCCTTTTGCTTATTGGCTCACATAATCCTACAACAGCCCTACAAGGGAGACACGTAACCCCTGCTTTACAGAGGAGTAAAGCAAAGCACAGAGAAGTAAGTGAGGTTCCCAGGGACACACAGCAAACACGTGGCAGAGTTCAGGTTCAAGCTGCCTGGCTCCGGCACTTACATGAAGACCCCCTGGTCCTTGCCCCAACGGGCCTCTTTTCTCTGAGGTGGGGGGAGGGAAAGGGAGACAGACAACACAGATCCAGCGTGTTGTGATGGGAGCTGGAGAAGAGGGCTCCAGGTCTGTGGGTGCCGGAGGGCTGCCAGGAGGGGGGCTGGCGGGTGTCTAGGAAAGTGACATTTGCAGAGTGAATAGTGTCCCAGGCAGAGCAAAGGCCAGCAGGTGTGGAGTGAAGCCGGGAGGTGGGCAGGCCTGGGCAAGGGCTCTGGGCCTCACCCCCTCCCTCTGCCAGCTCCGAGGTCACACATGTGGTGATGGAGCAGACGTCAGCCGAGGAGGCCGCCTGCTGGCAGGCGAGCAGGGCAGCCCCTGCCCCAGGTGGCGCCCGCCCGGTGCTGCTGGACGTCAGCTGGTTCACAGAGAGCATGGCAGCCGGGCAGCCGGTCCCTGTGGAAGGCCGACACCGCCTGGAGGTGAGCGAGGTGAGGTTCCTGTTGGGCCACAGAGAAAGGCCCAGTGCAGGCCGTAGCTCAGCTGGGATGGTTGACAGGCAGCCGTGTCCAGAGGAGGTGGGCCGCCACACCAGGCCAGCCCACCTCTGCTCTCGTGGCTGCTGCAAACTTTCTCGTTCTAGCATCTTCAGGCCCTTGTTCACCAAGCAGGTGACTGTGACCCTAAGTGAGATGGCCCGAGGGCCAGCAGGGGGTCTCTGCCCCGCCTCTGTGGTCCTTGGGTGAGCGGAGCCGGGCTACCCATGTTCAGACCTGGCTCTGCGGGGGGGCCTCAGTGTCCCTGGTTGAGCAAGGAGAGCAGGGCGCGTGCAGCCCTCTGGCCTGAAGAGCTATCAGCTTGCTCTATAGGCTGCGTCCCCTTTGCCCAGGCCTCAGCAGCTGAGTCCCTGCCGGCTCCTCCGGTCCTGTGTACCCAAGAGCCCTACATGACCCCCCAGGAGAGGCAAGGCTTTGGGGCTGCCAGCCCTGCCGCCTCAGAGTGACCTCTTCATTGCTCATCCCTAGGTGACTGTGCCCAGGAAGGGGCTGCCAAACCCAGTGTGGATGCTACCCTATGCCTGCCAGCGCCCCACGCCCCTCACACACCACAACACCAGCCTCTCGGTGAGCCAGGCCCGCTCCTGCGAGCACTCCCGACTGCCTGCCCTCACCTTGGGGACAGGTGGGTTGAAGCTGCAGGGCTGGGAGGCTCACCACCCACCCTGTCCTCACCAAGGGCCTCTCCCTGCAGGAGGCTCTGGAGGTGCTGGCAGAGGCCGGAGGCTTTGAAGGCAGTGAGGGCCGACTCCTCTCCTTCTGCAGAGCAGCCTCTGTGCTCAAGGCGCTGCCCTGCCCCATCACAGCCCTGAGCCAGCTGCAGGGCCTGCCCCACTTTGGAGAACATTCCCGCAGGGTCATCCAGGTCGGTGCTCAGCACACTTAGCAAGATGGAGTTGTGACGCGAGTGGGCGTCAAGGAGGCCTGAGCCTGGTGACAGCAGCTGGGGAGGAGCTACAGGTTGCCCGTTGGGCATGCCACCTGTACTCAGATGCCTTATGTAAATTGGGGCCCCACCACCTGCTCCAGGGTGGTGGAGAGGACCCAGGGGCTGCAGGGCTGGTGGTTGGCACTGATGGCATCAGTCCAGCCTGTCCAGGATGTGGCACAGAAACTGATCGTGAGTACCTCTTTAAGTGCAGAGTATTTGAGGAAAGTTGTGCTTTTGTACACATCCCAGGGACAGGACATCGTGACAGAAGGTTCTTTAAATTCATTTATGCTTTTAAAGGAAGTTGCATTGGATTCATCACCTATGTTTTGAAAAGTAATTGCTTACATATATACTGGGACTTACCTGAGGGACGAGGTCAGAAGCTTTGGGGCACAGTCTCTGTGTGCAAGTCCCTCGGTTCTTGATGCCACAAAGCCCCCTGCTCAGATGGGGTCTGCCAGGTCCTTGGGCCCCAGCTCTGTTCTGCTCTGTGGTCAGACGGGGCTTTGCTTTGTCTTGGCCACAGGAGCTGCTGGAGCACGGAGTGTGTGAGGAGGTGGAGAGAGTCCGGCTCTCGGAGAGGTACCAGAGCATGAAGGTACACAGGGTAGACCTCAGCCGGGCACACGGCCTCAGTCCTCCCCAGAGCAAACCGCCCGAGGATCAGGGGAGGGCTCTGAGGAAGTGGCAGCTGACATCTGACATGCGTGAGGCAGCCAAGCAGACCACTGGAGGAGCTTGTTTTGAGCCCAGGGATGTTCTAGATCACTCAGCACTGCCTGTCCTCGTCGGGCTGCAGTATGTCACCTGCTCGGTCATCCCAGCAGAGCCTCTCACAGACGCGCCTCGGGGACGAGTGAGCGCAGGCTGCGCTGTCCTGAGCTGCCCTCCTTCCTCGGTGGTGCCCGCTGTGCCCAGGGCACGTCTGTCCTCGGCCGCTCACCTCTGACCCGAGTCGGAGCTGCCAGTGCCCTGTCCTGCCGCTCGAATGCCCTGCTTTTGTGGCTGGAGATTGTCAGATGGGTCACCTGGGGGCACTGGGTTTTCCTTGGCAGGGGGGGTCATCACTGCCCTGGGGGGTTGCCCAGATGTTGTGAGGATCAGGGGGGCCTTCGAGGAGGGGGAGGAGCCATGTGTGAAGAATGGAGGGGCTCTGGTAGGCAGAGACGGGTGTGGGGGCGACCCAAGAGCTAGTGAGCAGGAAAGCTTAGAGTCACCTGCCTCCTTGTGGGCACCTCAGAGTCCCAGGAGGCATCTGAGCCCCTGGGGAAGTACAGTAATAATTTGTTGTCAGTATGACTAGGTTATTCTCAGAATTTTTTCTGTGAGGATTCTGTTGGTGATGGTGACCCAGCTCATCTGTTGGTCAAGGGGATCAAGGACAGGATGGTCCGCACAGCCCAGAAGGGCCGCTGCAGGGGGTCGCAGGAAGCGGGGCTGGGGGACTTCCTCTGCATGCTGCTGCCTGCGCCAGTCGGGTGTGGCCCCAGAAAGCACCCCTGCCCCGCGCTACAGCCTCCACCTCTGCATGGGCCTGACTTTCAGTTTTAGTTCCAGAAATTCCCCGGAGGGGCTCTGAGCGGCTCGCTGTAGGAGACAGGTGGCTGGGGTCAGGGAGACTCATGGGAGACAGGCAGCCCCCTGTGAGAGGTCAGCTGCAGCCAGGTTGTTCCCCGGCCTGGAGGTCTGGGCAGCAGTGCGCACTGTGTTCACCCCAAGGTCAGCGCTGCGTCCAGGTCCCTCTGCATTAGTCGAGGAGAAGTGCGGTAACGAGTTTCAGCCCCGCACGGTGACGGGCGGCGCTGTGCACGGTCTGGGAAGAGACCTTTCTTACGGGGGTCCCCGGGCCCTGACCAGGTTGTGCTCCCCCTCCCAACAGCTCTTCACCCAGATCTTTGGGGTTGGCGTAAAGACTGCTGATCGGTGGTACAGAGAAGGGCTGCGGACGCTGGACGACGTCCAGGAGCAGGTGCAGAGACTGACCCAGCAGCAGAGAGCAGGTGACCCTCAGACAGCACTGGGCCTTGGGCTCCCCCAGAGCACTGGGAACTGAAAGTTTCCCACACTTAGTGCTGAGGCTGCCTGGGTGGGGTCAGAGCAGAGACCCAGTGGAAGGCAGGCATCTGGGTGGGCTTACTGGGGTCTCCGCCAGGATGTCTCAGTGGGTGATGATGGTCACAGTAGCGAATGTGACATTCAGGACCCCCTGGTCAGACTTGGACTGGACCTCTTGCTCCTGAACAGCCTGGGCCCTGGGCACACCTAGTCAGTGTCGTGCTTGGCACTCTGGCCTGCTGACCCATGTGCAGCAGGAGGGACGTGAACTTGAGTTGGTTGGGCCTGGGTTTGCGTCCCGCCTCTGCCAGGTACTTGGCAGGTGACCATGGCCCGGAGAGGGAGATTCTCTGAGCCTCAGGGGTGTTCTCTGTGACGGGTGGGATTCCATGAGCACCTCTGTGAGCCAGTGAGCCACACGTGTTGAGCCTGGGGTGGGTGAGAGCCCCGCTGAGGAGCCCACACCCCGAACCAGCCATCTCTTTGAGCGTCTTCCCAGGGGTGGGAGGAGAGGAGGCCCCCCGGGGTCCTGGGAGACTCGCGGGCTGGTCAGTGGGACCTCAGAGCTGAGTGCAGTGGAGCTTTGTGGTAGCACCTGCGGGTTCCAAAGCTGAGTCGGCCAGCGGGCTGCCAGGGCCGTCACTCCCGCACTCCTGTCTCCCGCTGTGTGTGGGGCGCAGTGGTTCCGGCCGGGCTTGTGCCCAGGTCACTTCCTCATGTCACTGACCAGCTCCACCTGTTGCCCGGGCAGCCAGGCGTTGGTGAGAAAAGTCTGGCTGTGGCAGGAGAGGCAGTGGAAGAACTTAGGGTGGGGGGCTGGGTGGGGGCACAGGGGACCTGCTATTTCTTTCAATTGGACCTGAATCTACAATGATCTCTAAAATGTTTACACATTTAACGGGGAGGAGGGATAGTGGAGAGAGAGGGCGGGTGGCGTGGGTTAGGAGGTCCACGCTTCTGCAGGGCTCCAGCACTACCGGGACCTGAGCACCCCAGTCCAGCGGTCTGATGCAGAGGCCTTGCAGCGGGTGTTGGAGGCGGCCGTTGGGCAGGCCCTTCCTGGGGCCACTGTCACACTGGCTGGCGGCTTCCGGAGGTAAGGGGCCCCCGATGAGCACTGCGGCTCAGCTTTGAGGGGGGCTGCTGAGGTGTGGGGAGAACACGGAGACTCTGTCCCTGGGCCGGCCTGGAAGTCAGACTTGCCCCCTCAGGGGGAAGTCGCAGGGCCATGACGTGGACTTCCTCATCACCCACCCCCACGAGGACCTGGAGGCAGGGCTGCTGCCCGGAGTGATGCGCCACCTGGAGAAGCAGGTGAGCTTCCTGCTCCTCCTGAGCGTGCTGCTGGGCCTGCTCCCCCAGCCACACGGACAGTGCCCGTCATGCCCCCCCCCCCAGGGCCTTGTCCTGTACCACCAGCATCAGCACAGCCACAGGAGAGACCCCAGCCACCTGACCCAGCAGAGCCACGCCATGGACACCTTTGAGCGGAGTCTCTGCATTTTCCGCCTGATGAGACCCCCAGGTGCTCCTGCGGGGGGCACCCAGAGGCCCTGCACCTCCTGGAAGGCTGTGCGTGTGGACCTGGTGGTCGTGCCCACCAGCCAGTTCCCCTTTGCCCTGCTTGGCTGGACTGGCTCCAAGGTGGGCAATGAGCTGCGGGGGCCGCCTGGGTCTGTGCTGCGGCCCTGCTGACCCCTCCCTTTCCCCCCAGCATTTTGAGCGTGAACTTCGCCGATTCAGCCGGAAGGAGAGGGGTCTGTGGCTGAACAGCCATGGGCTGTTTGACCCGGAGCAGGTGTGTGGTCAGGGCAGGAGGTGGGGGAGCCTAGAACCCACAGACACAGGGCCCTGAGGTGCACCCCACCCTGGGCTGGGCTCTCCCCACCAATCAGGGAAGCCACATGGGAGAGGGGTCCCAGGCACTGAGTCCCACACTCTCGTTGCAGAAGACCTTTTTCCAAGTGGCTGCGGAGGAAGACATCTTCAGACACCTGGGCCTTGCGTACCTTCCCCCAGAGCAGAGGAACGCCTGATCCCAGCCCTCACCCTCCTGGTGGAACCCCTGTGTGCACCCCCACTTCCCATGTGCAGCCCATCCAGGACACAATGAAATGAGAACATGGAGCAAACCAGGCACTTTTTTAAAACTACTGCTGAGGTGGGGGCATCATGGCTGTGTGGCCCTGGGGTTCTGAAGGGTGAACTGGGCCTCTGGACAGGGAGCAGGCCCAGCCGAGGGCTCTGGGAGGAAGACCTTCCCGTGCTGACCTCCTGCCTCCTGCTGGGTCAGCCCCACGCCCAGCTGGGCCGGTCTCTGCCTTTGCTCTTTGAGTCTGTTCAAAGCAGCCTTTCGAAGCAGGCCCAGCCCCCGTGCTGTCCGTCCTTACTCAGAGCCCTGGCTCAGTGACTCCCAAGTCCTCACAGGGTCAGCTTGGCGGTTTCTACAAGGAGGTCACCTGGGACTCGGACAGAGATCGCACCGAGTCTGGGGCTCATCACTCAGTGTTGCTGTTGGGATGGTGCCGCCTTCCAGTCCACAGACGTGGGGTGCCTGTCCGTTTATTTAGATCTCTTTTAGTTCTGGTGATGGTTTGTAGTTTCAGAAGATAAGTTTTGCATTTTTGTTAAATTTATTCCTAAGTATTTTATTCTGTTAATGTTATTTAAGCATAATTTTGTTAATTTTCCCTTCTGATTACTCATTGACGTGTGTAGACATACAGTTGATTTTTGTATAGTGGAACTTTGCTGAACTTTTTATTAAATCTAATAATCTTTTGGTGGATTCTTTATGATTTTCTATATACAAGGCCATGCCGTCTGCAAAAAGAGTTTTATTTCTTGCTTTCTGATTTGGATGCCCTGTATTTCTGTCTCTCGCCCGATTGCTGTGGCTGGGACAGATGTGTTCCCGACTCCAGCCTCTCACTGTTTCATTCCTGTCAATTCAGCGTCTGAAAGAGGCCTGTGTGCCCGGTGGGGTCAAAAAGCAACTTTCCAGACTCAAAGCATCGAGTCCTCAGTTCTATATCCGCACCATGCTAAACACCCTCTTCGTTTATTATTATTATTTTTAAAATATGTTTTTATTGCTGTTTTTTGAGAGAAAGGAAGGGAGACATAGAAACATTGATGTGAGAGAGAAATGTCAGTCAGCTGCCTCCTGCATGTCCCCCACCAGGAACCGAGCCTGCCATCTGGACAGGTGCCCTGACCAGGAATCGAACTGGGACCTCTCAGTCCATGGGATGACGTTCAATCCACTAAGCCACACAGGCCGGGCAGCACCCACTTTTTAAAAAATTAATACTGCTGCCCGGCCTGTGTGGCTCAGTGGTTGAGCGTCGACCCTGCACCAAGAAGTCGCCGGTTCGATTCCCGGTCAGGGCACATGCCCAGGTTGTGGGCCTGATCCTCAGTGGGGGGCATGCAGGAGGCGGCCAATCAATGTTCTCTCTCATCGATGTTTCTGTCTCTCTCCCTCTCCCTTCCTCTCTCTCTAAAATCAATAAAGAAAAATAAATAAAAATTAATCTGCAGGACCTGGCTGGGTAGTTCAGTTGGTTAGAGTATCATCCCAATACACAAATGTTGGGGGTTAGATCCTTGGTCAGGGCACATACTTCTGAAGCAACCAATGAATGTATCAATAAGTGGAATAACAAGGTGATGTTTCTCTCGCTCTCCCTCTCTCTCTAAAAATCAACATAGTATGTGTTCAGAGTTAAGTTGTTCTCAGCCTAAAATAGGCTGTTAAGATGTTTCATGTGCCCTGGCCAGTTTTGCTCAGCGGTTAGAGCGTCGGCCTGCAGTCCAGAGAGACCCGGGTTCGGTTCCCGCTAAGGGCACGTACCTTGGTTGTAGTTTGTCCCTGGCCTTGGTTGGGTTGTGCAGGAGGCAGCCACTCGATGTGTCCCTTTTACGTTGATGTTTCTCTCTCTCTTCCTCTCTCTCCCTCCCACTCTATCTGAACAAAAAATGGAAAAATGTCCTCAGGTGAGGATAAAAAAATTTTTTCATGTAAGCCTCATAGTAACCACAAAGGCAAACCTATAACTGACACACACACACACACACACACACACACACACACACGATAGAGAAATCTAAGGGGACTGCAGACAGCAGCACATCACAGAGGAAGAGAGCAAAAGAAGGAGAAAGGAACCAAGGAGTCAAAACAACTGGGAAGATTTAACAAAGTAGCAATGGTAAGTCCACACCTATCAATAATTACTTTAAGTGTAAATGGACTAAATTTTCCAATAGAAAGACAGAGTAGCTGACTGGACTATAAAAGCGACCAGCTATCCACTGCCTACTGCCTAGAGACTTGCTTCAGCTTTAAGGACAGACTGAAAAGTGAAGGGATAGAAACAATGTTGCAAATGGAAACCAAAAGGAAGCAGAACTATCCCTACCTCAGATTAAACAATTAAAAAAAAATTTTTTTTTCCTTTATTGATTTTAGAGAAAGAGGAAGAGAGAGGGAGAGAGAGATAGGAACATCAATTGATGAGAGAGAACATCGATTGGCTGCCTCCTGCACACCCCACACTGGGGATTTGGCCCACAACCTGGGCATGTGCTCTGACTGGGAATTGAACCGGCGACTTCTTGGTGCAGGGTAGACAACCACTGAGCCACACTGGCTGGGCAGATTAAACAGGTTTTAACCAAAGACTGTAATGGGGCAATGAAGGTCATTATGTCATGATACAGGGGTCAATCCAGCAAGAGAATATAATATTGTTAAATAGTTTTGCACGTAACAGGAGCACCTACATATACAAAGCACACATCGCCAGACCTGAAGGGAGAAAAGGAATGTAGGAATAGCAGAGGACTTCAGAACCCCACTTTCGACAATGAGTAAATCATTTAGACAGAAAATAAGGAAAGTTTGGACTTAAACAACACATTAGACCAGGTGGACTTAACATTCACAGAACATTCAGTCCAACAGCAGATGACACATTAAAAATGTTACTTTGGTCTGGCCACTGTGGCTCAATGTTGAGCGTCGACCCTGCACCAAGAGGTCGCCGGTTCGATTCCTGGTCAGGGCACATGCCCAGGTTGTGGGCCTGACCCCCAGTGGGGGGACGTGCTGGAGGCGGCCAGTTGATGTTCTCTCTCATTGATGTTTCTGTTTGTCTGCCTCTCTCTCTCTCTTTCTTCTTCTCTCTCTAAAATAAATGAAGAAAAAATTTAAAAACAAAAAACAAAAACACAACTGCCACCCTTGAGGGGCTGTCTTGAGTTCCACCCCTTCCTCCCACTGTAAGTCCCTGCCCTCGCTGCTCCATCCCACCCAACCCAGTACTTTCTTCCCAGTGGCCAGCACAGCGCGTCGAATTGTTCACCATCCTTCGCTCCCACTGGGATGTGTGCTGGACCCAGGGCCTGGCCAGGGTCAAGGTGACAGAAAGTGGACCCTAAAGCAGATGCGCCCGGAACTGGGATAGAGCTGGAGCAGCAAGGCCTGTGGGGTGCTGTCCTGAAGGTGGCTGCCACCTGCCAGCCTTGGGTGCAGAGCCTCCCTCTTGGGGCCGAGAGCTGGGAGCCCCTCCCCCGGGTGGGCAGCAGGCTGGGAGAAGGTGTGTCGGGCGTTTCACGTGGAGGCCAGTTGAGATGGCAGCTGAGCCCCTGCCTCCAGGTGTCTCCTCACCGCTGTGCAGGCCTGGCTCTGCCGTGCTGAGACCAGGAGATAGCAGGCAGGACTCTGTGCCCGTCAGGGCGTCAGGCCCCTGGGAGGGAGAGGTTTCCGGGGCTGCAGCGCCAGCCTCAGGGGCCTTACCCTGGAAAGCTTCTCTGCTTCTGCTAGCGCCCCCCTCTCAGGCTCGTCCAGCCAGGACTTCTGTCCTTCATGCCCAGCCCTGCCTGGCAGCCCCCCACCCCCAGCCTGGGCTTTGAAAGTGTGGGGGCTGGTGGTGGCGGGACTATTTTAAGTCCTGCTCTGGGCCCACCCTCCCCGAAAGCTTTGCTACTGGCCACCTGCTGCTGCCTGTCCGACCTGGAATGCAGGTTGGCAGTTGGCCAGGGTGGGGGCTGGGGACAAGCAGTTATAAAGCTGGTGGCACAGGGCAGGCGCTGTCCTTGTCTGGAGCCTGCCAGTCCCCACCACCGCAGCCATGTCCCACCGCCTGGTGATGGTCCGGCACGGCGAGAGCACCTGGAACCAGGAGAACCGCTTCTGCGGCTGGTTCGACGCGGAGCTGAGTGAGAAGGGGGCTGAAGAGGCCAGGAGGGGGGCCCAGGCTGTCAAGGACGCCAAGATGGAGTTTGACATCTGCTACACGTCGGTGCTGAAGAGGGCCATCCGCACCCTCTGGACCATCCTGGACGGCACGGACCAGATGTGGTTGCCTGTGGTGCGCACCTGGCGCCTCAACGAGCGGCACTACGGGGGCCTGACTGGCCTCAACAAGGCGGAGACGGCTGCCAAGCACGGGGAGGAGCAAGTGAAGATCTGGAGACGGTCCTTCGACATCCCACCACCCCCCATGGACGAGAAGCACCCCTACTACAGCGCCATCAGCAAGGTGGGCTGTCAGGGCGCCAAAGGGAAGGCCTGGGGGCAGGGGCCTTGGGGCAGGGAGCCTGGGTGGGGGCCAGCTGTCTGGGATGTGAACTGGGCCGTGGGTGCCCCCAGGAGCGCCGGTACGCAGGCCTGAAGCCTGGGGAACTGCCCACCTGTGAGAGCCTCAAGGACACCATCGCCCGGGCCCTGCCCTTCTGGAACGAGGAGATCGTCCCCCAGATCAAGGCTGGCAAGAGGGTGCTCATCGCAGCCCATGGCAACAGCCTGCGGGGCATCGTCAAGCACCTGGAAGGTGAGGCCCACCCTGACCGGGGCGCGGGCAGTGGGTGGGGCGGCAGGTCCCGGAATGTTTCAGCAAGTGCCCGCTGCCCGCTAAGGGAGCTTTGCAGACGTCAGTGCCCAGGGTGGGGTTTTCAAACTGAGAGACACCGGGAGGTGGGTTTCATTCCTGAGCAGGTACTGGGACACTGGGTTCCTTCTGAAGACGGGGGTGAAAATGTCTCCCACCTCCGACCAGGGCTTGGGCCCTGCTTAGGGGCCAAGGCGCTGCAGCTGGCCCAGCTTCCTGACGTGAGCCCTGGCAGGTGGGGTCTAGGGTTGGCATCTTGCCCAAGCTCACTGGCCAGGGAAAGCAGGGCCATCTGACTCCAAACCCTGCTGCATGTGTCCCGGGTCCAGTCATGTCACTTGCTGGGCCCCAACTACCCTCTGGGGCAACTCCTGGTATTGCTTGCTGCTGGACTTGGGCCCACAGAGGTAAGGTCACTCAAAAGGATGCCGGATGTGCAGTGGCCTGGAGACCCAAGCTGGTAGCTGGGGTCCCACTGAAGAACAGGACGGGCTCCTCCAGGGCCTTCAGGGTGCCCACACTTCAGGGGTCTGTTAGTATCTGAATGGTCTTCAAGTTCGGGATGAGGAAGGCCGGTGGGGCGGTGGGCCCAAAGCCCTCCTGGGGTCAGCGGGCAGATGGCCAGGGCGTCTGTCCTCGTCTGGTCTGCACAGGCACCTCACAGCAGGCCTGAGCCCAGCGCCAGACCACCCATCGGCCCTCCCTCTCAGGGGTGCTGTAGCCCACATGCCGGGAACATGCCCGGGTCTCCCACACCCCTGAGAACCGGCCTCCTGGCTCCTAGGGTGGTGGAAACACCAAAGGGCTGTTCCAGGTTATGGAGGGTGGTGGGTCGTTTCTCAGAAAACACCTTTTCCACTTGGCAGAGCCTCCCGTCTGCCTTAGACATGGTGGCCCCTGCTGTCCCTGTCCCAACCCATTTCCTTTCTCTTCATTGATTTGAGAGAGATGGAAACATCCAGGAGAGAACATCGACTGGCCGCCTCCTGCACGCCCCCCACTGGGCATCAGGCCCACAACCTGGGCATGTGCCCTGACCGGGAATGGAGCCGGCGACCTCTTGGTGCAGGGTCGACGCTCGACCACTGAGCCACACCAGCCGGGAACTCCCAGCCCATTTCTTAGGTGCACCCCTGCTCTCTGCTCAGGATGCCCCAGATTAGCAGTCTCTGGAAGCTGGATGGCTACTGTCCTAACTGGACCCAAACACCGCCAGTCTGGCCAGAGACCCGGTGCTGTCCCAGGTCACGCCTGTGGTTCAGCACGGCTATTTCTGTCGGCCAGTGTCTCAGCGCTGCCTTGACCTTCTCCAGACACATTTCTCCAGCCTTGCTGTCGGGGTGGGAGGGCTGTGCCTAGCTGACCAGCTGCAGCTCGTAAAGGTCACGGAGCCGCCGAAGAGCAGAGGCGCCTGACGGGCTGGGAGGGCTAAAGACCCCTGGTCCCTTCTGCCCAGGGATGTCTGACCAGGCCATCATGGAGCTGAACCTGCCCACGGGGATCCCCATCGTGTACGAGCTGGACCAGGCCCTGAAGCCCACCAAGCCCATGCGGTTCCTGGGTGACGAGGAGACCGTCCGCAAGGCCATGGAGGCCGTGGCCGCCCAGGGCAAGGCCAAGTGAAGACTGGGCTCTGCAAATCAAGAATAAAGGCTCCCCCGCACCACCCCGTCGTGTGGCCCACATGCCCAGCGCTCACTCGGGGTTGGCTTCATAAGACCAGAGCCTGAGATTCCACGAACGCTGCCCAGGGGGAGGCTGGCCCCTTCTGCCTGCCCAGCCCCCCATTAGCTATGGGCACCTGGCCCCCATCCCTGGCTCTCAGGTGGCTCCTAACAAGTCACTGTGGTGACCCCCAAAGCTGAAGACCCACTTGGGAACCCTGTTCTAGAATCAGGGTGCCTGGGTCACCTAGGAAGAGTTCAAGTGACCCCCTCCCCAGAGGGGGCAAGCACAGTGGCCATCCCTGCAGACGGGTTGTCCTCTGCGGTCCCTGCTGGTGGAGCAGCACCGAGCCCCTCCTCCTGGGGTCCCCTTGTCTGGGAACAGACAAGCCCATAGTTGGCCTCAGGACTGGAAACACCTGACTGCTGGGGCCTCCAGGAGGGGGACACACGGGATGGGCCACCTGGCACCAGGGGGAGGGGACACTGGGCTTGGCCACCACCTGGGGCCTCTCAGCACAGCCCACATCCCGGGCTGCTCCCAGGGCACGAGGAAGCAGGTTCTCCCTGGTGGCCCCTGGGTGCCGGGGGCCTCGCTGCACGTGTGTGCTGTCCCTCGCGGCACAGGCCCCATGGAGGGAACAGGCAGGCCCTCGGCCCCTCCCAGAGAACCAGTCAGGAGGCTCACTTCACTCACATCTTAATCTTTATGTCAGGCCTGAGGCGCACACCCACCGGACACCGGGAAGGGGCCGGGCTCACACGGGCATCAGGTGTAACAGGCGTATCCGGGCTGGGGGCTGTGTGGGGCAGTTCTGACTCCGAGGCAGATGCTGGTGGGCTGGGACGAGGGGGCCGGCAGGCAGCAGGACGGGGTGCCTGCGCTTCCACACGCAGACCATTACTGGTCACCCGTCCCCACCACCCTCAGCCCAGGCAGAGAGACAGAGAAGCAGGAGCACCGAGCAGGATCCAGAAAGACCAGCTACTGCTGCCGGACTCTGGTCACAAACCGCTGACCACGGCTCCCAGGCCACTGACAGGGAGCCGCCCCCCCAGGGCTGGGAGGACAGGGAAAGGCAGAGGCCTGCCTTGGGAGCTGCCGGGTGAGTGCGGGAGCCCCAGGTTATTGCTGCATCTGTGGCCCCTTCCTGGATGAGGTGTGCAGTCAGCAGGCTGCCCCCTCCAGCAGGGAGACCACGGGTGGGGAGGGCGCCCAAGCCACGGCCAGCAGGCGCGGCCCTCACTCGATGAGCTCCACGTAGTTGGCGGGAAACATGCCAAAGTGGCCGTCGGGCCCATAGCCGCGCCACCAGCCCTCGTCAATCACCTCGATGCCTGTGATGAGGTTCTCGGGGTCGAAGGAGATCTCGGTCTCATCAGCTGGAAAGAGGGGGAGCCCAGACACTGCACTGGGCGCCCCGGGTCTGGGCACCAGCCGACCTGCCCTGGCCCTGTTCGCGTGGCCTCTGTCCCGACCGCCTCCCCGCAGGGCCTGGCTCTGGGCCACGCACTTCCTTCCACGTCAGCCTGCTCCCCAGGGCCACCCAGAGCCACCCTCTGCTCACACCTCCAGGTCTACAGCTAGGCTGGAAAGAGGGGGTCATGCTGTGGACAGCAGGGGGCTGCCCGGTGCCAGGGAGAGGCCTGGCTGTGCACTGCCCCCCCTCTCGCTTCCTGTCTGACAGTCCTGGAGACTGTCCCCTCAAGGAGCCCAGAACTGGGCCGGCCTTAGGCCCTGTGGTCTGAGGGGGGCACATTACCTGCCTGGTAGTCGTACAGGGCCCGAGCACAGAGCCCCTTCCCGCTCAGCCCCGGGGCGTGGTCCACGTGCACAGAGCCGGCGTCCGGCTGCTGCACCTGCCACGGACAGGAAAGAAGTCTGGGGCCTGGTCACCTAGGTCTTGCCCATGACCAGAGCTCATGTCAGGCTTGGGGAAAGGCATGGCATGTGGGGGCGGGGGTCCCCATGATACTCCCCACCCAGCACCTCCCACACGGTGGCACTTGCCACACAACTTATAGCATAAGCGGCTCCAAATTTAAGACAACCCATAGGCAGTGAGCCTCGCAATGCGGCTGAGGAGGCAGTTTCAGGGCACAGGCCTGTGCAGCCCTGACCCTGCTGCAGGGGACCCACCACTGGGGGCTCCTCATAGAGGGCTTCCTGCTCCGGGGGGTCCTCGTACACGGCCTCCTCTTCTGCCTGCACTGGGCAGGCAGGGGCGCTGGGCGCCAGCTCCTCGCAGAGACCTGCATGGGGGTGCAGCCAGATCTGACCCTGGGGCAGGGAGGACACCCCCGTCTCCTCCCATACCCCGTCCCCACGTGCAGCCGAGAGCCTTGCCTGCCCTGGGCCTGGAGGCGGCCTGCGTCAACTCCCTGCCAGGAGGGCTCTCGGGCTGGGCGAGCTGCTTCTGCAGGAAGGGGCTCCTCAGTTTGCCTGCAAAGCAACGGGAACAGATCCTCACAGCGGGAGAAGCGATCCCAGCTCCTGCTCCCTCTGGGCCCTGCCTGGAGGGCAGCTTGCCCTAGGACAGTGGCTGTCACACACCCACACCACCAAGCAGCCCCTCGGGCACGTGCAGTGTAGACAGCGGGTTGGCAGGACTAGTCCCGTGTCCTCGGGGGGCCGAGGAGTGGCTGATGCAGGCCCCTGGGACCTGGCGACAGCCCGAAGTGTGAGCTGCACCAGGGCTTTCTGGGGCCGGGGCTGGAGCGTCTGTTCCCCTCCTACCAGGTCTCTGCAGGGTGACTTCAAGGGCAGGGGGAGGGCACCTGGGTCCCCGCCCAGAAGCTGTCTTGGCTCCCTTGTCCCTCATCTGCCCGCCCCCCAGCCTGGCCCTGCCTCATGGCTCATGGCTGGGCACAGGGAAGTCTCACCTGGCTGGGGGCTGGCGATGGATGCGGTGGGCATGGCTCTCTCCTTCTGCTTGAAGATCTCCCGTGGGTGTGCTGGCTGCTGACTGGGCTCCTGGGGGACAGATGCATGGACCCGGCGTGTCTGCCTGGCTCCTGCTGCGGGGGGGCTCGCAGGTCTCCCCAGACGGGGCTGGGATCCACACTGGACCATCTGCCCTCACTCCTCTGTCCACCGCTACCTCTGTGCACCCACGTGTCCCAGTTCCCTCCCCAGCTGCAGGGCCCTCTGGGTATCTCACCTGTTCCTCTCTGCTCCTGGAAACCACTTCCTGCTGCTCACACTTCCTGCTGGGAGGGCAGAGGGCAGAGCTGACCTCTGCCCGCTGACCCCGAGGCAGCCCTCCTCCCCTCTGGGCTCACCTCTGCCGGGCCTCCCGGCCTTGCTCCTGGTAGTGCTGCTCCCGGCGGGCGGCCTCCTGCAGCTCCCGCTCCCGACGCTCCTGTTCCAGCCGCTGCCGCTCCTGCTCTGCCCGCCGCTTCTCCTCTGCCCGCCGCTGCTCCTCCTCCTCCTGCAGGGCGCATGCTCAGCCCACCCAGCACAGCAGGGCCCCGGAGTGACCTGGCCCCCATACCTAACCCTGCTAGCCCACGTGACCCCGAGCTCTGGGAGTTTACTACGAGAACACCGAGAGTGACGTACTCCAGGCCTCGCGCACGCCAACCGCTCCACAGATGCCAGTGACCGTCACGGCCCAGCGGCACTCACCTCCGCTTTGGCCCAGAAGCTGTCTTTGCCAACCCTCTTGATCTCAGACACGGCATTGATCTTCTGGTACACAGAGCCCTGCAGGGACGGGGAGGAAGGGCAGGGCACTGGAAGGAGTGTGCAGCCCAGGTAGGAACTGCTCGGACAGGGCCTGTGCCCCAGTCAGGGGGATGACAGCAAGGTGGCCTGAAAGGTCCTGGACACGGCCGAGCATGGGGCGCAACCACACGGCACAGGCGGGTCTCTGGTTGTACCAGGCCTGTGTGGGTGAAGCCAAGGGCCATTCCAGGAGGCTGGCCCACCAAGTTGCAGGCAGCTGACCACCACATCCCCATGGGACCTGCTGTGTGTCGGGGACTCAGCTCCCACCCAAGGCCACAGGCCTGCAGGCATCTGCCTACCACACGGAGGGCCCTGCCCTGTCTACCACTTGAAGGTCCCCCACAGCGGCCACCACAGAGGACATGCTGCACTGTCCCTGCAGGAAGCCTCTGCTCCTCATGCTGACAAGCCCGGGCCACCATCTGCACCTTGATCAGGTGCAGGGACTTGAAGCCAGGCAGGCGGGAGCCAGCCCTGCAAGGAGCCAGGTGCTGAGGGCAGATGCGGCCAGTCTGGGCACTGGGAACTGCACACCTGCCCCACGGCTCCTGGGCCAGGTGGCACTCACCACTGGGGCCTGGGGGCCTGTGTCCTGGAAGCGGCTGCTCTCCTGGTGAAAGGCGTAGTTGGCTCCCGAGGCCCTGGCCACCTTCTGCATGATGCACTCAGGCTCCACGTCCTCCTCAGCCCTCGCGTTGATGGTCACATGGGCCCCCTGCAGCGAGACAGCACGTGATGAAAGGTGCTGCGACTCCAGGAGAGGACGGGCCCCACACCTGTCTCGCTGAGGCTCTGGAGGCCCCACTAGGAACCGGGACAAGAGCTCGTGCTTGTCCTGGCTCCTGTGTGAGGCCCTCACGGCCCGTGGCGTGTTCTGTGGCCTGGCACTTGAACAGACAGCTCAGGCATTAGAGGGTTTCCTTGTAATCAGTGACAACAAACCTGGACAGAAATCTGGAAATGAGCACCTTTCCTGCAGTGAGTACTGGTCTGGGGAGAGGCCGGGCTCATGGCCTCACTCCTGTCCCTAAACACGCAGGAAGCCCGGGACCCTCTATCAGCTCCAGATGGAAAAACAGGCGCATCTGAAGAACTGTTGTCAAAACTAGAAACTGAAGTCTCGAGTCTCCTTGCCAGTGACCAAGGAAATGCAGTCATATGACATGAGAAAACAAAAGCCTTTAAAACCACACAGGCTCCGCGTAGACCGACATGCAGAAACACATGGACAGGGACGGGCAACCCTCCACCTCCTGCAAATCCCAACAGCTCTGCCCAGGCCCCGCTCCAGCAGGTGCTCCTCGCTGTCCTGTCCTTCCTCCCTGAGGGCCCCGCCCAGGTCCCCCTCCAGCAGGTGCTCCTCGCTGTCCCGTCCTTCCTCCCCGAGGCCATGCCCAGGCCCCAGGCACACTTGCTGAGCAAGAGCAAAGCAGCCTCCGTTACACACTGAGGTCCAGACAGAGCAGGGGGTGTGGGTCCCACTCACTCATTCTGGGCACCTGGGGCCGAGGAATTGGGAGGACCCGCGGGGCGCAGCCCTCACCTTCAGGAAGCTGGCCATGGTGCTGACATGGTTGGCACACGCGCCCTTCCGTGCATCATTCACGCCCTCGCCTGTCTGCAACACAACACGCCCAGCATGACCTGCCCATTCCCCAAAGCCATTGCCCTCCCAGGGACTCAGCAGGTTCCGTGTCCCCGGAAGGAGAAAGTGGCCATCGCAAAGCACAAGACCAGGTGGCCCCACCTCCAAGGCAGGGAGGTTGCTGGGGCAGCTTCCGCTGTGGGGACACTCGAAAGCCCCTTGTCTCCACCCCAGCCCCATCCTGTGCTCCCAGAGCTCCCCAGCTTCTCTCCATGCCCTCTGCTCCCTCAGGATGGCCCCCCGAAAGGGACAAGGACAGGGTGTCCTGTGGTTGTTTGTCCTTCATTCTGCAGGGGTAATTCTGAGTTACCAAGGCCCCAGGTACTTTCTGGGCCACAAAAAGTGGATCCACCAGCTATGAGTGTCCTCAAGTCAAGTCCTCCTCAGCTGCAATCACTCAGGCAGAGGAGGACAGAAGAGAGTGTTACCGGTCTCACCTAGCCGAGAACTCAGAGCCCTCGAGTTCCACATACCCAGTTGATGAGGACAAACTTGGGCAGGCCGGAGTTAGGGTCCTTCACCCTGCAGAACGCGTACATGACCTTCCCGCTGTTGAGCTCCTCCACCATCTCCTCCAGGCCCCCCTCTGCAGCAGTCACAGGAGGGTCAGTGGTGGCCAGGCACCCCCTGCCCACCCTGGCACCTTGTCCACCAGGAATGAAGCCCAAGCTGCCACTTGAATCAGATCCCAGGCCCAGTGGTGAGCTGGGGGGAGGCAGGAACTATGCTGTGACTAGCACCTCCGGTGACTTTTACTCACACCAGTCTAAGGACCACTTGTGTAAAATGAAAATGTCATCTTTGCTACAAACCAGGCACCCAACTTTGAAAAGGAAGGACTCTACAGCCATCATACCATCGCCTGAACCCCACAGAGCCACGTCTGCTCTGACGGCAGGGCCACCTGGGGGGCTGCGGCAGATGGGAACGTCCCGCACAGGCTCAGCTGAGTCTCAGGGGAGGACAGTGGCACAGGAGGGGCTGCAGCCATTCTCTCCCGACACTGAGGCTGAGGGCCCTGCACGAACCAGGGTTTGCTGCTCTTGTCAGCCTCTCAGACCTTCCAGATTGCGAGGAGGCCTCGGCTGCTGGACTGCACAGCGGTGCCTACAGCATCACAGTGCAGAACCACTGCAGGGCTGTCCCACGAGCCCAGCCAGGGAGGCGCTCGAGAACGGGCGGGGCTCTCCACCAACAAGTCACCAGAACCACCCACGTGGCCAGCAGCTGCTGGGTGACAAGCTGGGCCTGGCTCGGTCAGGGGAGCTGCCTTGAGCACATGGGGCCAACACTGACGCTGCCCTGAACCCCTTCCTCCGGCTGTGATCACTGCCATGCCGCCACGCTGGCGCCCGAGAGCTGCACCCTCTCCCTCATGCACCTCACCCCCCCACAGTCCGTGGTTCCGACTGGGCTTGGCCATACTCACCCCCAGTGCCCGCCACACGGATGTCATTGCTGTTGCCTTCGTAGGTAAAGAGAGCCCTGAAACAAGACAGGCGGCTCTGTACCCAGGGCAGTGGGCACTGTCTGCCTTCAACCCAGAGCGCTCAGCAGGGCAGCCCACTGCGGGCCGACACGGGCCCCACTGGGCCCCACTGGGCCTTCTCAGCTCTGAAGCTGAAATGACGCTGTCCTGACTGACCACAAGGGCTTGTAAGTGACAAACCTAAGACAAGAGCATATATCTACTTGAGACTGAGAGCCGTACAGTTTTATAGCAACTTTTCACAGTCGTGTGTGAAACACTCTTGCCTGGCTACCAGGCATGCGGAATTGAAAAGACAAGGACGTCTGCACATTCCTGACCTGAAGCACCCAAAGGAGCAGCAGGAGGATGAATGGGCACCGGGCACCTGGGAAGGTGTCGACGCCCTCAGGCACGTCTGTCCCCCCTCTGGGGCCTTTGGGGTTGGTGCAGCAGGTCCGTCTGGGCTGGGACTCTCCTGGCAAACACAGTCCATCCCAGGTTGTATGTAGCCCAGAAACCACAGAGGACATGACTCAACACGACACTGGCTCCTCAGGGGACAGCCTCCTTGTGGGGCCAGGTCTAGACCAACCAGTCTCACCTCTGCACAGGTGACCCTGGACCACACCTTCCTTCCTGTCAGACTGATTACTCGTAAGAACTCTGAACAAGATTTGGGCTTAACACTTGTGCCGCAGAGGTGCTGAGGAAATGTGGTGAGTGTTACTGAATGCGTGCACACCTATGGAAGGTTCCTCGACCAGAGCTAAGGCTCCTTCCGAGCACAGGCCTGCTGAGCCAGCCAGACTGGGGCTCCAGGGGCAAATGGTCTCACAGTAACCAAATCAGCTTCCACTTGGCTTCTCTACGGCCTTGCTACTAACACCACTGGGCAGAGCTGACTCTGCCCAAGAAAGTTGGAAGAAATGAAATTCAACCCAGTCCCAGTGCATCTGGCTGACAGGTGCCAGGAAAGAATAACACTTCCCAGTAGAGAGAGAATACAGAAGAGAAACAGGGAAAAAGAAGACTTTGGGTAGTGAATCTCCAGGAGAACATTCTGGAAGAGGTGGCTTCCTGGCAGACCAGCTCTGCAGGAGCTCAGCTCCGGGCAGTGCTGGCCAACCATTGGACAGCAAGTCAAAAGGAACACCACTCTGGTGGCCAGAGTCCTGACCAGCCCTCCTCCTGGAGGAAAGAAACACCAGACAAGTGGCATGGGCAGAGATGGCCGCTCGGCCTAGCTCTTCCAAGGGATCCAGCAGCTACAAAGAGCCATGTTCCGTGCCTGCCACCCACCCTCTGGCCTCAGTCCTCTTCACCCTGGGCTCCAGCCTTAGCCATTCTTGGATGTTCCCAGTTCAGAGGCTCATTCCCACATTCCGTCGAGCCCCACTCTTCCTTCTAACGAACATGATAAGAACGGTGCTCTGGCCTGTGAGTGGCACGTGGAACGTGGTGCACCGAGCACCTTAGGTTCAGTCACTCCTTCCAAGAACCTGCACTGAGAACCTGCTGCTTGCTGGTGGCGGGACTGCAGCCACAAGGAAGCCCTGCCAGCGGGACAGAGGGACACACCAACACGGGCGCACTGCCTGGTGAAGGGACACGGGAGCTGCACCCAGGCTGTGATCTAGGGAAGGACCAAGGAACACCGAGCGAGACCCGAGGCGCAGAGCTGATGCTCCCCACCCACCTGGCTTCAGGGCCCAAGATCACCACACTCCACTCATCACACCAGAGACCAGCTCTCCTTCCTCTGACACCACCGTCCCTGCCCTCCTTAGTCCACCCTTCATCTGAGCACTGACTCCACACCACCCTGCACCAGGGACAGACACAGGGTCTACCCCACCCCTCTGGAAAAGAGAAACAACACAAAACCAATAAGAGTGTCTGAATGGGTCGGAGGTGGGAAAATGTGGCTGGAGCCAGGGAGTCAGGCAGAGAGGAAGGCCACCTGGTAGCTGAGAACTGAACTTTGGGGAGACCCCTGGGATGATGTGGATGCGTGCTCCGGGCAGGGGAAGTAGCCAGGTCAGGGCTCTGAGGAAGAACCAGCTTGCAAGTCTGGGGAAGAGAAAAAGGCTACAGTGCGGCCAACGGGAGGCCGCATGAGTGGTCAGGAGCGGGCTGTCGGGCCTGCCAAGCAGGCGAGGGGTCTGGGCTTTATTCAATGTGAAACCAGAAGTCACTGCTCAGTTACAAGCAGGGACGGGATATTAGTGAGTAGGGACCTGCCACACAGTATCTGAGGGCAGAGGCCGACGGTTCATGCAGCGGAGTGGCAGTCCCCATGCTTCCACTGGAGCCTGGTGTTGGGCGAGGAGGCTGGTGAGATGGGAGGGCTCGGACTGGGTGAGAAGAAAGAGGAAGGTTGACACCCTCAGAGGAGATGGAGTGGTAGCAGGCAGCTCTGCTAAGAAGCTCAAGGAAAGGCTGAAACATGGGAGGCCGGGACTATAAGAGAGAACTGGAAGGAAGGCCCACCGGGAAGCCAGGTCAGAAAGTGCTACCCCAGAGCACATAAAGGAGCAAAACCCTAACTGGAGAGGACTAGAGAGGGGCAAAGATGTTTCTGGGTTCCAAACTCAGGTGGCCTCACGTGGACGTGAAAATGGGGCACTCCATAGGGAGATGTTCTTGACAGGGTTTGGAATATCATCAGAGGCTCAGAGCCCTGAGAACAGCGGAGAGGAGAGGCGGGGGACAGAGACCCAGGGACTCTCCCTAGAGAAAAAGCCCTGCCTCCACATTTGGCTGAACTTCCTGAAGGGTTATAAAGAAGAGAAGGCAGGAAACCTCTACTAGCTGTAAGACCTTTCCCTAATTAGAAGAGATGCTGTCCAAACGCTGGAGGCACTGCTTGGCTCCCCTGCAGAACTGGGCGCCCGCATGCACTTGGCCCAGGCGGGAGAGGAGTCTTACAGACCAGGCAGCTGCTGTTCTGAGGCTCTTCCCACAATGCCTGGGGCCGAAGGGAAGGATCCCGCACCCGAGGAGTCACAGCGGCACACTGCGTGAAACCCACTTGGCTGGGCACCAGGGAAAGCAGAGAAAGTAGCAGCACTTGGCAAGTGGAGACCAGTTCCAACAGCACCGCCACACCCAGCCGGCCCTGCCCCCCAAAGCTGGTCATCTTCGCCTGCCATACTCCGCACTTCTTACAACTGGAGGTGGTCAGAACGAGTGAGCAGAACAGCTGAAGCCGAGGCACAGCGGCAGAATGACTGTGCACAGCCCCAGTGCCTGCGCCCCGTGTGGCTGCGCGGGGTCACCCTAGGGGCCTGGACCAGGACTCCGGTCCACGAAGCCCTTCGCCCTCGCAAGGAGACCGAACCACTGCCGCCTCGCAGAGGAAGTCACGGGCGGCGGAGGGAGGATGGAGGCCAGCATCGCGGGGCCTGCACGTCCGCAGGGCTCCCGCACAGGGGGGGCATTCTTGGAGAAAGGGAGGTTCTGAAACTCACATGCACAGAAAAGGAGGGACCCCAACCCCCGACCCCCCGTCTGACGCCTCGGGGCCGGGCTCCCGCGGCCAACCGGGCTGCCCGGCTGCGCTGAGGTCGGTCCCGGGACGCAGCGTTTGCACGAAGCCGGGCGTGGCTTCCGCTTCCTCAGGGAGCCTGAGGTCCGGGCACAAAAGCAGAACCTGGCGAGGCGGCCGGGCGCGGAGTCCGACATGGAGGCCCCGGCCGAGGGATGCAGGGGCCTGGGCTCCGCGCGGCGGGGCGAGGGCGGGGACAGCCCCTCCGGGCGCGGCGCAGGTGTGGGTCCACAGGTGAGTCCCGGCCGGCCCGCGGCCGCGCGGCTCGGCGCCCCCTGGCTCCCCGGCCCGGCCCGCCCCGGCCCGCCCCGGCCCCCTCGGCGCCCACCAGTCGGTCGGGGACTTCTCGGTGACCACGCGCCCGTAGGCGTCCTGCAGCGCCGGCCCGTTCCGGCTCAGGTTCGCAGTCATGGCCGGCCCTGGTCCCCGCGCCGCGGCCGCCGCTTCCGGGCCCGCCCCGCCCCCGGCCGGAAGCCCCGCCCCGGCACCGGAAGCCCCGCCCCGGCCGGAAAGCCCCGCCCCGGCCGGAAGCGGGCGGGGGGCCGCGGTTCCCGGAGCCGGGCTCTCCTTGGGGGCGTGGCCGAGGGGCCAGCCCGCCGCCCCAGGAGCTCCGCGCGTCCCCTCCGGCCACTCCTCCCAGTTCGCCTCCTGCGGGAGCCCGTGGGGCCGTGACGTCTCCCGCGCGGGAGCCCGGGCCTCTGTGTGGACCCAGAGTGGGGCGTCAGTGAACGGGGACGCCGCCAAAGGGAAGGCTGCGCCCTCAGCGGCTGCGGTGCGGACGGGACCCGGTTCCTTCCCGGCCCTGCGGCCCGCGCCGCCCCCGGGCAGAGCCGTCCCCGGTGCCGGCCAGAGGAGCACCCCCACTGCGGCAGAGCAGCCCCCCTTCTCCCCTCCCCCCGGCAGAACAGCCCCCCCACCCCGTGCCGGCCAGAGGAGCACCCCCACTGCGGCAGAGCAGCCCCCCTTCCTCCCCCTCCCCCGGCAGAATAGCGCCCCCCTCCCCCCCCCCGTGCTGGCCAGAGGAGCACCCCCATTCCGGCAGAGCAGCCCCCTGCCCCCCATGGGGCAGCGCCGCAGGGCAGGGCCGGGATGTTTCTTTGCTCAGAAAAGGGTGTTTCGACTTGGGCACAAACATTGTTCACTTATTTTTACTTCTGTTCACACCGTGACCTTGTCCCGACCTGGGAAGCCTGGGTCCTGCCTAACAAGCCCAGTACCCTCTGTCCTGGGTCTTCCCCACTTGGATTTCACCTCGTGTTGCATTAGGAAAATGAGCTGCGCTAAATGGAGGCCACAGCGTTCCCAATTTCTAGTCTTTTCTCTTCAGCAACCTCTGCTGTCCTTGCTTTTCCTTCCACCTGACCCTCAGGTGACTTTCTGCTCCACCCCAGTCCCTTGGCCTCCCACTTTCTGGGGGATCTGCTTACTGGTCTGCCTTCTTCTCTTCTTTCTCTGGGAATGTTTTTATTTAAACAACTTCTAGTTATCAGTTTCCTTCATATACTTGGCTGCCAGTCCCCAGCCTGGGGTCCTTGGACCCCTAAGAGGTCTGGGACCCTAGGAGGTCAACATCAATGTCAATTTGAGAACCTGCCTTGTCTGAATCAGGCTATGCTGGCCAAAGAGTCAGTTCTGTGGTGGCCACATTCGTCCACACTGACTACGGAAGGTTAGGAGGCCCGCCTCCCTTGAGAGAAGGCTATGAGGAGGGGTCCCTGGTGTGGGAGGTGGCCTAGGAGTCCATGTCCTGTTCTGGCTGGTAGGAGGCTATTTCAGCTGACAGGCTAGGGGAGGCCTCTCTGAGGAGGTAATAAAAGATCGGGGGAGGGGGATCACATCCACAACACAAGGCCAATGTAGAGCAAAGTGGCTTTATTGCATGCGCCTGGGTGCAGGTGGGCTGAGCTGAGAAGGGTTCCGCCTTGAATTAGGATTCAGGTGTCAGTTATATACCCTACTTCTAGCTTCTGGCAGTTCCTGTCTGGCCCATTGTCCACTTTGCAGTAGGACTGGTCTGGTATCTCGTCCGGCATCTGCTGGGTGATTCATTGCCTTGTGGACAATCCAGATAATCCTTATCCGTACTCAACAGGAGGCTGAGCAAAGGTTCTGCAGCAACACAATTTCCACAGTTTCCGCCTTTTGCAAACTTTTACCTTTACCCTTTAAAACGTTACTAACCCTTTCAGGTAACACCGGAGCAGAGTGAACGGGGGGTGTGGTGGGGGGGTTGGGGGGGGGCATATGGAAGATCAGACAGAAGTACTCCAGGCAGAGGGACAAGATGTGTCAGGGCTCTTAGGTAGGGGCACAGGGAGGAGGGGGAAGGAGTTGTGGGTAGAGGCTGGATCCTGTAGGACCCGGGTCAGGACTTTGGGATTTTATTCTAGTGTAAGAGGATCTCTGGTAAGCTTTAACGAGAGAGAAAGTGATCTGGTGATGTTTTAAAAAGGTCCCTCTGGCTGCCTTGTGTGGACTGTTTCCACTGCCTGCCGTCAGGGAGGGCTGGCTGCCATGTCCTCAGCTCCTCAGAGGACTAGCTTTCATGACTAGGTCAATCCAGGTCCAGCCCTTACCCAGCAGTGCTGGGGAGGAAGCATGTGTCACAGTGACATGCACAGGAAGGAGGGGCTGGCGGAGCCAGAGAGACAAAGGGCCCAAGCTGATCTTGAGGCTTCTTTGCCCCTCTGGGTGCCACACAGAGACCTCAGGCCAGGAGTTGTGCAGGCCTGTCCTGCAAGCACTTGTCTGGCACTTGGAACTGTCTCCTGAACTTAGACAGAAACCTGCCCTCCTTAAGCATCTGCAGTGAGGTGGTGTGGACATATTTTCAGCTACAGCTGAAGGCCTGGGACATTTGCATGCTAGCATTTTATCCCTGGGCAGGAGATTTTGACCCTCTGTCATATTCTTAGAACTCCTGGGTCTTCCTGGACCAAGTCTCAGGCTCATCCAGCAAACCCAGCACTTCTGGTCGTAGTTAATCGTCATTTGTTCACAGTGGAGCGATTGCTTAAGATCATATATCTCCCTGATTTCTCTGTTCCACAGAGAAAAAAACACATTACCCCACAGTTGGCTTTCTGGTTGCTGTCCAGTTGCCCACCTGGGACACGCCTTGGAAACATGACGTCTGCACCCGTGGGTTACATGGGAGGCCCTGCAGCACGGGGCACCCTGAAGTAAGGTTTTTGGCTTCAGAAACCCCGTCAGGCAGGACAAGAGGATGAGTTCCCCAGGGGGAGACATTTCAGAGGATTTGCAGGGATCAGGCCTGTCTGAAGGGTCTGGCAAGCACAGAGCACACCTTGGGCTGGCAAAGGGCGAATGGAAATTATACTTGGTAGCCCAAAGGGCCGATTTCAGTTCTCTACCATATGTCTCCAATAGAGAGCAGGCATGTGGAAATTTTTTGACTGCACTCAGGAAATTCATCAGCTTCTGGGAGTCATAAGCTGTTACACTGGAAAGTGATCCATGGTCTCAACACCAGCTTGGGCTGGGATGTTCCCTCTAAGCCTCTGACTTGTCTCTGAAATGTGAACCTGCCCCACCTTCCTGTGCTCTGTGGTCTGATAGCCCCCCAGGGGAAATGATGAGGGCATTCTCCCATCTATGAAGGTTTAACATTTTGTTTAAGCAAAGACCAAAGCGGTGGCAAAGAGACAAAAGTTAAAAAGGCAATCTTCACCAGGGTGACAGGCAAGAACAGGGCACATGGAACTCAAAAGTAGCCTGTGGTATCAGGGTCCTAAATGGGGACCCCACAAAGGAAATGCAGACCAGGCTCAGACTGCTGCCCGGGCACCTCGGAAGTGAGGTTGTATAACACGTTGGGAGCTCCTGAGCAGGCTGACCTGGGTCGCCTCTCCTTGATCCCGGCTGCAAAGGCCCCCTCTGGCCATTGGGGGTGGAAATTCATGCTTCATCCACTGCTCCTACTCATCCAAGTTACTTTCCTGGCTGTCCTGGGAGTAACCGCGTAGAAAACACCAGGGCAGGTTTGGCTCGAGAGAATTGAAGGCCCTGGAATTTCCTCCCTTCGGGGAGGTTCGGTTAGAACAGCTGCCCTTCCAGCTGACCTGCTCTCAGAGCTCAGAGCTCCGAACTCCGAGGCCAGCCCTTGGAAGCGTTGCCTCAGAGATACAAGAGGAGGCCAGTCATTCAGCAGGCTGTTCTGATTCAAGTTTCTGAAGACCTTGTTCAAAGTTCCCATAGTTGATGTTCTGCCTGGGAAACAGACGTAAATTCCGGTTATCACTCAGGATTATGAGTGATTCACACATTTATTTACATTTAAGTCTCCCTGTCCCTGTGCCCCGGTCTGTGGGCAGCTCACACTGGACTTGGCGTGGGCTCTGAGGGGTGGGTGGTGAAAAGCCTCTTCGCATGGAAAAGAAGACCCACCTCTCTCCAGGTGCTGCTTCGGAGAAGAGTCCTCTCTCCTGGGTGTTCTATGCTTTCGATCCCAAGATCCCAACACTGTTTGCTGCTTCTCCGTGTGAGGGACAGCGTCCCAATTCCCAGGAGCCTCCTGGGAGGAGCCGAGACTGCTTGGGACATGCTGACGGCAGACTGGATGCGAGGAAAGCCTGCCCGCTCTGCCCGGCACACCCAGGCTGGCACTGAGTTCCAAAAGGTGAGGGGCAGGCTGTGTGGCGCCATGCGAGTGATGCCACTCGTGAGGCCGGGCAGAGGAGGGGCACTGCACACCGTCCTCCCAAGCGTCCAGGTGAGTTGGGGTGCAGGGACCGATCCCAGCCTGCCTCACTCACTCCCCTCGGTTTGCTTCTAGACTCTGGGACCCTGCTTTTCCCAGGCTGACTTTTTCATGGTGCCATTCCCTCCATTAACAGGACATTCACACCGTTTACCTTCAGGTTCAGCCCTTCTTAGTTCAGAGGAATATCTGCATTTCTGAAGCCCCCTTCAGACCCATTTCTCTGACCCCAAGCGGAGACCTGTACTCGCACACTGCTCTGGGGGAGGGGTGTTCTCCAAGACTGCAAGTCCCTGCGTCCCTTCCTCCACACTGGTGTTGGATGAGTGAATAAACGAGGGAACAGAGAAGGTAATGTAATGTTTGCCTTTCTTATTTCTAGAGAAACGTGTCCACAGGGTCAGTGTGTTCTTCTTCCACCCATATGATAGTTTGGCTAGAGCTCCTCACAGCGACCATCCCTGTGGACTCGGATGGGGTGGGAACATGCCACCCAGTTCCTCCCCTAGGAGCTGTGGGAAGCTGCCTGCTCTCTCCGAGCCTGTGTCCTCCCAGGGACATGGGGCAGGCATGCTGCAGTGAGAGCCTCAGGCATGGGACAGGCCATGAAGCCACTGGAGCCTGGGGCACATGGCCACTTTCAGACACTGTCAGTGATGGAGACCAGTGGGACCGTAGGACATCGAGGCAGATGCTGCCGTTGCTATGGATGTTGGGTGGTAAA